TCTATGCACTTCTTTGTGAATAGTCTCATTAACTGTGGTTCTGCAGCCTCAATTCAGCCTTTACTATTTCGCATCGTACTATCTACACCTATTCATTTCTGCCGGCATGCTTTACCTCGAGTTTGGCTCTTCTTACCCTCTATTTAGTTGGTACGGTTTTGCCGTGAACCGGTATTGATTCAATAATTTTTCAGATGAGAACTTCGTGATGAAGCCATGCGATCACGAATGTCTCGTCACTTCGTGTTTGATGTTGGCCGTACTGGTGATGGTACAAATGGCTATGTTGGCATTTTCGTACGGTAGCGTCATGGATGATCGCCTTCGCACGTCCATTCAAAGCTATACGCCCATTCTCGACAAGTGAGCCGTATAAATTTATCGATCGAATATTTCAGGATCTGTATGTTTGTGTACCCATTTCTCACATTACGCTACAGTGGATTAGCATTTCCAAAAAAACTGAGTTGAAAAGAAACGAATCCCTCAGATTATAAAAAACAGGGGAGAAAATAAGTAAGAGAGTGCCTAAATTTATCTCTTCTTTTCCAGGCTCCGATGTTTGCACTATTTATCTTATTTTTGAGGACTTTTGTTCAACTCGAGCCTGAAGCTGTAGTCGAGCCAGAGTGTAGAGCAGCGCAAGCGTTTTTTAAGATCGTTCTGTTTTTGTCTCGGTCTTGTTTGCGCGATGCGAGTCTATACCAGGGTCAACCGTCACGTTCGCACTTTTTGAAGAATTTTTCGAACTCCCTTCCCTTGAACAAGTTTGTATAGTGCCAGAAACCCAGTATAATTTGAGCAGAGTGGCAGCGTCACTGACCATTGCTTGTCCCTTTTCGAAGCTCGCCGCAGGTGCGACGTCACTTAACGTCACCAGCCGCGCTCGCGTCCGCGCCGCTGGTGAGCTTTTCTCTCCTGCCAAAAAGGGGAAGGCTCATAGTTGACTGAAATTGGCAGTGTGCATATTTTCGACAGGAGAGACCAGGGTTCATCTGATGTCAAGGGAATTTGTGGAAAGATTCACAAGTTTCTGAAAAGCTTCTATAATTTTCAAAAAATCTCGTGAAAAGTTCACGAATTTTACCAAAAGTTAGGAAACTCTTTCTGTTTTTTTTTCAATGGATACCTCCCCCTACTCCAAATATGGTAATATACTAGTGAAACCGATAAAAGAAAAAATTCAATTTATTGTTAAGGACTGAGACGAGACGGTTACCATCGGTTCTCATTATTGGTGTGCGGAAAGGTGGCACTCGAGCACTTCTTGATGCAATGGCTTTGCATCCAAATATTCGAGTGGTTCGAAAAGAAGCTCACTTTTTCGATTTGAACTATTCGAGAGGTATCGATTGGTATCGATCGATGATGCCACTCAGCACTGCCGATCAGGTGACTTATTGTTCCTCTTGTATTATTTTGAAAGTGGTCACAATTTCGCAAACATAATCACACTATCTTTTCCTTTTTCGATTTTCTGTTTAATGTTTGATAAAGGTCGATCGCATAGTTGTTATTCATGATAGTTATTTTATGGGTTGTTGTTTCATGTTTGTTATTACCTATAATAACTTTATTATTTGTATTTTTGCTTTATTAACGTAAAAACCGTCAAAATGTCTGTCGCAACCTTCACTCTTGGTGGAGATTGCGCATACCGACAGGGGCAAGGTAGGGGGTGGGGATGTATTGAAGCGCGATGGCCCAGGGGAGCGAAATTGACTGTGGTCAGCACGCGAATTGTTGAAATGGGTGCGGAGAATTGGGACGGGCTTAGAAGGAGAAAAAAAGAAAAAAAAATCCGTCGAAAACGCCTGGTTTAAGGGCTTACTCACCTTTGTAATCGGCTGTGCTAAGGCTTAGAGCAAAAAATGCTAAACAGCAACAAACTTGCAGCCACTTGGTGGCCGCGTGGCAGCGTTTGGCGGGGACTCTAGACTCCTGTCGGTGGGCTTCGTTGACGAGAACAATGGCCACATCTGTAATTGTCTTCTAATGGCTATCCTATAGACAAGAAAATGTTCACATTAGAGGTGCCCGCAGAAGGCCCGTCGCGCGGCAAGAAGGCAGGGTCGCGGACGAGTCGCAGCGCGTGATGTGTGATGTAGGACGTACAATGGACATTCTATTCAACTTGACGCGAAATCACTACAGTACGCGCTGCGACTCGTCCGCTGACTTGCCTTCTTGCCGCGCGACGGGCCTCCTGTCGGGTACCCCAGTATCCGCATGACAGGTTGTTCCTTAGATGACGAAAATTGTAAATTTCAAACGTTTTTAGGTTGTGGGCGAGTCGTCGGCATTTTCCCATTTCTTCGCCGAAATCAGTCTATTGAGCGGATGGATTTTAGCAGGATTCCTTTCTCCTGAAAAGTTATTTTCTTAGCCTACGGCAAAAGGTTTTCAAGGCGAAGTGCTCGTAAGCTACAAAATGGCCTGTTTACACGCGCACAGTCGGGGATCAAAGTCTGGAGGGTGACGCCACGAAAGCCATCTAGACCGTATCCATCCGAGGTTGGTGAAGCCTCACTTCTCTGAACCGAGGAAATCGCTATCTCATAATCAGCTTTCCCTCAAGTCATTGTATAGGCCAGATCCCATTCAAAGTTGTGACTAGAATTCGTAGCACATTTCGAAGATTAGAAATTGCAGAAGATAACCAAGCCTACTCTGTATTTCGAGAAACGAGAAGAACGTTGACTGCAGACCACACACCGCACATTTCGACGGCCAGGAAAAAAGAAAAGAAAAGGCCACTTTCTCTCGGCCGTCCTAACTTCTGGTGTGTGGAGTGCACTATTAAAACTCTTCTCGTTTTCGAACAAGGAGTATGTCAAACTTTTTCCTTGGTGGAACGGTGGAACAAATTTTCAATAAAAAATATCTAATAATGAAATGCTATGAAAACTTAACTACTACTGTACTTCAACTAAATTGTTATGAATCTCGGTTATATCCATGTACTTCGAAGGAGTCTTCAACACAAGAATCTTTGAAAAATTACTGATGTTAATGGTTTCAGGTGGTTGTGGAGAAAACCCCAGGCTATTTCACTTCAGCTGTGGCTCCAAAACGTGTACGTGAATTGGATCCTGCAGATGAGGCATAATACTACATCGTTCTGCGCGATCCTACTCAAAGAACAATTTAGGGCTTTACTCAGGTTAAAGCCGGTTTAAGACCGCCCAAGTAGGAGCTTGGCGATTTCCCAATGAACTATTTTATTTTTATTTTTTTATTTTTTCAAATATTTGTAATTTTTCAGGTTACTATAACAAATTAGAGCAAAAAACCAAGACATGTGCACTCGTTTTCGGGAGAAGGCAGCATTTCTCCCGATATCGAGCTGAGTTAATCCGGAGTACAACCGGTTACGGAATTCCCCTCTACGATCTTCATATGACCAACTGGTTACGGTATTTCTCCATGGAACAGATTTTACTCGTCAATGGCGACGTGTTCCGAGGAAATCCTATTAATGAGGTTCGAGAATTTTGATTTGCTCTTGGTTTTCTGCATATCTATTGAATAAGTCTCATCAAGCGCCGACCCGAGACCCTCAAATGTTGTCAAGGTTGTGCCGCTCTCAGTCTCCTTTCTATTTGATACTATGGCAGATTTGCATCGAGGCTGAACGGATGGGTTTTGCCAAAATTATAACAATTTAGAGATTTGTGACTGTATGTAGACTTAGTTTTGTAGGGCCGGGGTTGGTCCTGAGGGCATCTAGACTGAATGGCGCAACTTTAAGGTAGTGTTCCAATCGAAATGCTTTGGAAAAACGTTTGGGCGCTTTGTACGGGAGGCACCTCTAGCACTAATGCTTAAGAAGGAGCTAGGAACTTCCGAGGAAAATAAAAATGCCTACGCAGCGCGGAGCTCGTCTCCCCTGCCTCGTCCCTGGAGCCTCCCTCTCCGTTTAGACTTGGTCCCATTTTCAATGAAAAGGGCATATTCCACGAAAATGGAATGGCATTGCTACCACAATGCCCCGTTTATTGCGATAGCGCCAAGAAATTTTTAAGTCTTTTGTCAAATCTGAACTAATTCATTAATAAAAAAAAAAAAAAAAAAAGTAAAAATAAAAAAAAAAATAAGAGAAGGGTATGCGTCTAGTGATGTCCCGGCAGAAAACGATCTTCCAGGCTCACACTTTGGGTGAGGGAAGAGTAGGGATGACAGAAAAGACCAAAGGGCGCGACCCCATTTCCAAAAAAAATTGGAATACGCTTAATGTGGAATCTGAACTAGTCAGTTTGCAGTACGCCGCGTCGAGGACGTTCTCGAGTTTCCGCAGAAAATTCACAACGATCAGCTGATCTTCAACGAGCGCAAAGGATTTTTCTGTTTTCGCCGTACACCGCGATCTCGAGTGAAATGCCTCGGCAGCACGAAAGGACGGCCGCATCGCGAAATCGCGGACGAGACGTTGTCGCCAAACTGCGGCGGAACTTTCGGCCACACAATGTGCGATTTTTCGGCTTGGTGAATAGGATCTTTGCTTGGTGATCAGACGCAATTTTGCAGAATATCACTATCAACTCGTCTAGAAATGCCTTGAAATAGTATTGTTTCTCAAGAGTATTTTGCAAAAGTTTTATTCTGATGAATCTCTAGTTGAATGCATTCTTCAACTAAATGCATATGCAATGTGCGATATATATGAACTCAGGTTGAATTCTATCATTGCTACGGGTTTTCTAGTTATATTGTTGTATTGTTTGTTTTTATTATTTTGCTTGTGCTTCATTAAAATGAACGTTTTCTGAAATGTTTGTGAAATCACAATTTGATGCCCTCGGTGATTCATATTTCGATAAAAAATGGTTCTGTGGGCGTGGTGGGGAAGGTACGACCGTTAAACACCAATCGTGCTCCTTCAGGCGATTTATTGGTATCACTCTTACTATTAACGATCATAACTTGAGTCGAAGCTTAAAAATGAACTTAGGGACCGCTTGAGAAGAAAAACTCGAAGAAATGCCAAAAACACATTGAAATTAATGAGGTGGACAATACTGCGACGAAGAGTCAGTGGGCGCCGAAACGAGAGGGTAGGAAAGAGGCCAAAGCGTCAAGCGAGACGTAGACTTCCCGGCTGAGTAGATGCTTCCGTTTCGGATAACCTGGGACCCGTTTCTTAAATAGACGGGGTCATAGCTCCTTTATGCGTTACAGCTCTAGCCGCGGGAACAGCATTTCTTCATATTTGTGAACATATTCAGCCTGATCACATGGTAGGGTGGCGTGTGGAAGGGAGGGGAAGCCCCATTCTCTCAGCTCGATCGTTAAATAAGCTACAGCGAACCTTATTGTTGAACTCACATTCACGCGCAAAAAGACGCCAACTTGAGCGCTCACAGTAGAGTTAATAGAGGAATCCTTCCACGGAAAAACATCGCCTCCATTCCTACAAAAAAACGATACCTTAGGCCCCTTGCTCATGAAGATAGCAAAAAGAACGGAACATAGGCGATGGTTTTGATAATAATTATGATAACCAGTTCGACTATGAAAATTTTGAATTCCCGCTGTAAAACTTCCACAACTGTTAGCGGCGTGGAGTCAACACGTGCAAACGTGTCAAAAGCGTGAACGTGAACAGGATTCATGTTGGGCCCTTCCCATAAACTGACACGTGGATCCGCACCTGCCACGCACTTCGTCACAGAAGCACTTCCGGTCCCGCCTACTGGTCCAATCCGGTCCCACAGATGGGTCTTTTCCAAGGGCTGTTTCTCTTGGGGGTTTCATCATTTTCGCTCTGAACTTTGCATATGGTCTTCAATGACCATGCCCAACACCTGTACACAAGGAAAGGATAAGCAGTCTTTCCGTGGAAGATTCCTTTAAGCTTCTAGTACGTCAATTTCGCCTTTAAAACACAATCCTAAGGATGGAACATCAAACACATCCGAACAAGCAGTCAATGGGAAGGTAGTTTTACATTTGAAATCTCTTTGGAGCCGGTATTTCTTGTGGCACCCATTTTTTGGAAGCAGTTTAGAATGAAAGAATGATTTACACGTTTATTTAAATTCTAAGTATCAACTGCTGTCGTTACGCCTTCAGCACAACTTGTCTACGCAGGGATCGAGCGAGGGTTTTCTTATCAACAGGTTGCTGAGCCTGAAAATATTTCACATTATTCAGTACCCTTCAAGAAGCAACACTTCTTTCCCATCACCTTTGTTTTGTAATCACCAACGGCTACTTCGACGCCTTTTGATGCTGCCACAATTGTAATCTGAACAGTAGTTCGTTAAGGTAGAGACCTAAGAAGAAAAGGCTTGCAAATCGTACCGGTCTGGTTACTAGCATGGCTCCTCCATCCGTGACTGGTGGTCCACCGTCTGCCAATGGTGCACCTTCGCCCGCGACCGGAGCTCCTCCTTCCGCACTGTGTGAGCCCTCTTGGTAATTCTTACCATTGGTCGCAGCTCCACCTCCCACATGGTGCTCTGAGGCTGCCCCTGCCGCTGACGCATGGGCTGCAGAATGATCTGGTTTGGTAGCAACTATGTTTCCGACAGCACCTCCGCGCGAACCCGAACGTGCACCTGCACCTCTAGGGGCCGATTCAACTGGGTTGTATGGTTCAGGCGCGGAATAACTCGATTCATCAGGGAGTACATATCCCTTCTCCTTTCGTTTCGGACAAGTACAGTATTCTGCATCATCGCCATTTCTTCCAGGCTTGCCTGGATGTCCTGGGAAACCAACGGCGCCTTCTTCCCCAGGGACTCCCTAAAAATGGTTTTCCTTCGAATTCTGATGTCCGAAAATGATGGAATTGATAGCAAAGAAATAAGACTTACCACTGGTCCTGGTGGACCTTGAGGTCCTGGCAGAGCATCATCTCCGCGCTCTCCTGGCAATCCTTCGTCGCCTTCCATTCCTGCTGGTCCAATTTCTCCTTTCGGGCCTGGAGGTCCCTTTGTAGTGCCATGTGCGTTCAAGCCAGGAGCTCCTGAAATGAGCTTATCCAATTATGATGCCAGACGATTACTGATGAATCCCTAACCATAAGGTTCAAAAGATCAGTAACCTCTTTCTCCCTGGGCACCTCCTTCTCCAGGTAGACCTGTTGAGCCATCTGGTCCTTCGTCACCAATACTTCCATCGGCTCCGGGTGGTCCAGGCGGTCCCTTCTCACCCTTAATGAACACATGCATCCTCAATTATTTGGATAAGATTCGTCGTACCGTACCTTTGGTCCACGACCACCTCGTTTTCCTTTGTATCCAGGCTCACCAGGCGGTCCAGCCGGACATGGTGGGCATTCTTCACCTTCGATAGCTTGACCGGAGAGTCCAGTTCTGCCCTTCGACCCAGGCATTCCAGGTACACCATCTTCTCCTGAAGAGTGTTTTAAAAAGATTTAAAAGCTGACGAGACAAGGGGTCACTAACCTTTCTCTCCCGGCGCTCCCTTGCGACCCTTGGGGCCAGCTGGACACACATGCGCTCCTGCTCTAGCTGCTCCAGAATTGTGACGTCCTGCCGCTCCGTGCCCAACCACGCCTCCATGACCGCCCCCGGCACCAGAAACACCTGTTGCACCGTGAGGGGCAGCAGCAGCTTTCCCATGCCCTCCTCCAGCGCCTTCTGGACCAGCTCCCGCGGCTGCTTCACCACCATAGGCGGCTTCTCCGCTTAGATCGTCACCTGCCTCGGCGCTGGGACCTCGTCCATCCTTGTCTGGAAATACTTTCTAATTCATGAATATCGATAAATCAGGTGTCGAAACCACGTGACTTTGAAAGCCACTTGTTTCATCATCCTCAAAACTTTTTCTTAATGATTGAATACTCTCTATTGGAGCTCTCGAGACAATTTTTAATGGGCCTACGTTCTTTTTAAGGTGGTTTGGAACGATGGATGTTTCTGTTACCTGTCAAGGCTCGGGAGTATAACAGCTCTAAGCACGAACCTACCTTACACGTGCTGCCCTTCCCTGCGCTACTGTCTACCCTTGGAGAAAATTTATCAAGTGAACTTGGTGAATGCTTTAAAATAGAACTAAATTATTATACATATATCATTCTTATCTTAGAGTAGTGAGGCAGTGACTGATATATTGGGTCAGGTGGGTAACCAGTTCAGAAGAAGCAACTTACAGGCTTGACGGGAAGTTCTTCGAAGCATTTCGTTCTCATTCATCAAGTCCTTCCACATGATATTGGACAGTTCGTCGAAGGTATCACGCGCTACCGTCAACTCGTTCTCGAGGTTGCCCATAATGGTGAACAATATGGGCATCGAGACCACCTTAGCGAAGGAATATTAGGAGGAGAAAAAAAAGAAAGAGAATATATTCTATTAGCAAAATATTATGAGAGCTGGGAGAAAATGGTAAACTTACCAAGCACAGAAACGCGCATCCGGATAGGAGTGTGGCGATGTTTGTGGAAGTGTTGAGACCGGGTGAAGGATAAGTTCCCATCTTGAAGAGGAAATTGTCTCGAACATTTGAAGAAAAATTCGTAAAATCACACCGATATGAGGAGTGGGGCCGTATGCAGCAGTACCCATTCGAAATGAACCCCAAAACTCTGCGCCTCTGGCGTTTTCCCTTTTTAATCATTGGAATTATGTCATCGAACATAGTAGAGACGCAGAGTTCTGTGGACCCATCCTCAACGGTAGTGCTGCATATGACCCCGCGAAGAAAGTGGCAAGTGGTGCAGTGATATAATGGCATGTGGGGCTTCTTAGCCACTCGCACGGTTTAGGGA